AGCTGTGCGTGTACGTATATATGTACACGTGACCGCTAGTTAACGAGGTGATTGTTCCTTTGTCACGTTGTGCGGGTCAGAGTAGGGCATCAATGGTTTTGCGATCAAAAAGTAAGTACAGTGTTCCCGAGTGACAATTGATTGTTAATTACTACAGATTTACGCTTGAAATCGGTCATGGCGGAGTTATTGGAATTTTTGCTGCGTTCTTTTCGGGGATGATCGTGCCCTCGTTACAATGTGTCGACACTCCGCGGTTATTGCGTGAAATGTTCATAAAATCGTCTCGGCAAGAGTTGCAACGGTTCTTCTTACTTGAAAACGCAATTTTATTTTACTGCCAAGTAAAGAATCGAGTTTTGATGTGGCATTGAAAGAAAAAAAAAAAAAAAACTAATTTTTCACTTAATCCACCGCATAAAAGTTATCGCTGTAGGAGGCACGGAGAAAAAAAAAAGTGAAAAAAAAAGAGCGACTATAGTAAAGCTTTTCTTCTATCGTGGTTACATTGCTTGTGGATCTGATGCTGCGGAGGAAGCCGGCATTCATGCACCAAGTGTATGCGCATAAACTGTATGGTTATTATACGCGTATACACACAAGCGTACAACGGGCCAGCCAGCGACAATGTCGTCCTCCCACTATGATAACGATAATGCCGCCCACCATCCCAAAGTGTAATGTAATTATACGCGAAACCACGATGCTGTTGCTCCTACTGTTGTTGTTGCTGCTGCTTCGCTCTGTCGTACTAGGTTCCCGCTTTCTGCGTGTAATCTACTATGTACAATATTATAATGTCACGCATGTAAATACCAACTATATACATTTTGGCCTTTATTCATCGTAATTGTTTGTTAATCGGACTTTTGGTTGTGAAATACGCACATTGCGTTCAAAAGGGGGTGGGTCTCCTGTTAATAGTAAACGTGTTACGAAGGCCCTGTAATGATATGATCCAAGTAATTTTTTTTTTTTTTACCTTTTGATATGAAAATTCTCAAAAAATACATAGGCTTTTTCAACAATATGCATTTGTGTACGTATAAAAAGTATAGATTAGTATCTTTAGATTTCAATGGTTGGTTTTAATAACTTCATGCTTGTTTATTTGGAGCAATCATTTAAAAATTTTTTCATTGCAGAACTACCATGTTAAAACATTATAACTACAGTGGTACTCAAAATAATACATATAAATTAGAAGCAATGGTGTTTTTACCCCTAATTGGTAGTTATAATATCAAATTAAGTTAGAAATATTCAAGTATCGATTTCTTTAAAAAAACGTATCCGCTTTTCCATCATAACTACCCCTACTTAATTTGGGCTCTTCTGCAGTCACAATGAATATTACATGGCCTAAATAGATGAATTATTTTAATAGTGCTTTATTAAGATTTTTTTTTTTATACATATGATAGCTTCAAAATTTTATGAAATAATATAATGGAAAACAAACATTTTCACTTTTCTAATTAAATTTTTGTATACATTAATACTGTCTTACATACTTATAAATCTTTCAAAATAATAAAATATTTGTTTAAACATAAGCTTTTGTAGAAGAATGATGAGTAAATTATGTAAAGAAAAAAAAATTCTTTATTCTTATTTTTGTTGGGTTGAATTTAAGACCAGTTAATAAATGATCTTGTTTACGTAAGTAAATTTTCGCTTTCTTCAGTTGATAAACATCAAGTAGAAAATGAGGAATTTGTCCTAATTTTAATTGACCATATTTTCAAATCAGTTAATTTTTGTATTACACAGCACTTAATACGTTTTTATTTGTGTATAATAAATAAATACATTTTCAAAAGTTATTGATAGTCATGACTTAAAGTTAATTTACCGAATAACTAAATTTGTTACATGCCTGTGTAACAATTATTCACGTAGATTAAATAAATATTGTATAAACAACAAAGTTTATGGTTAAATTTGTAGAAAAAATATTTAAATTTTGCAATTGATTTTTGTACTCTGCTCTCATCGATTTTTTTTTAATGCACGAGCCTCAAATGAATTCGGTCGTAGGTACATAAGTCAAAAGTCTGCATTACCTACAAGAGTGAGCTGCGTACGATAAATAGCAGCCGACTTTAGCAACAGCCCACAATACTTTGAAATTTCGATATTTTCTACTAAAAATTAAGTAGATAATTATCTTACCCATCAATAGTAAAAATACTGGGATATTTTTGTAACTATTGTAATTGGAGTTTTAATTATGTTGATAGTTTATTGTACATACCTTCACTAGTCTATTTTGTTTTTAATCGTTTACTTCAGAAAAAAATATTTCTCATACACACGGATTCTGCTCTAACAACGCATGATTAAACTAAACTAAAATTAAACAAAATATGTAAATATAGCTTAAAATATAAAAGATAGGATGGAAAAAATTTACGCTGATAGAGCATCAAGATATTGATTTTTTAAAGTATTCATCTTCTTTTACAAGTATGAAAACTATTCAGAGGGCGTGTCTGATGTGCACCATATTTGAAATAATGTCTACTCATTCAATTTTTTTGTTTGGACAAATAGTAATTATATTGAATTTTAACAAGACTTTGAACAACAATTTTCAAGTTTTTAGTTATTACAATTCCTTTATTTAAAAGTAATTATGAGACCATTAAAAAAAAAAAAGTTATTGGTTCCATACAATCATTCGATAAACCACTCATACATAACATGTAACAAGATTTTTTCATATTCAATATAAGCGTGAAGATAAAATGTATTCTGAGTCTTATATTTAGCTCTTGTATTAATTAAAAATAACGTTTTAAAAGAAATTTTTGAAGTTCTGTTTAATTTATCTGCACTTAAAATTTTTCAAAAGAGGACAATGTAGCGTTAGCTGAAACAATGTGAGAACCTTCTTGCTCACTTAATTTGCATAAAACAATTTAAACAGATTTATTGAAACATTTGACGTAGCAGTGACTAAGTATGTTTTAATATGCTCTAAGAGTAATGAGTACAAAGATGTTAGGATAAAAACTAGAAAGAAGAAAAAAAAATTTGACCATTCAGATGTTGGTAAGAAGGAAGAGTTAAGGATTCTGTATGTACAAAAGCATTGCATTGTACTAACGTGAGAGTATGTTGTATGTGGGTATTTTATTATTCCGTAAATGTTCTGGGTTTGATATAGATGCGCTGAAGTATTTTTTCATATTTGCGTTCTTCTTTTCGTCCTCCACGTCACTGCAAAACTTCTGGAGAATGTCCACAGTTGAGTTTGCATCTCAGTAAAGTGCGATTTGTCGCACTTTTTTTTCAAGTAAATTGCAAATGACTCGTACTCTACTGCAGTTGCTAACCGTCAAAAGCCTTGGAGAAGAGCCTCAAGACGTGAGATCATTAATTCATTCGCGGAAGATATATTTAATGTTATTCTTTGACCTTTCAACGTTCTTTTCAATTGAACTCGATTCTCTTATTTTTATCTTTGTAGGTACTTTAACTGTCAATTATCGCAGTCCATAGATATAGAAATTTTCCTACAGAGAATTTGTATATTTTTATTAAAATGTTACGACTGAAAAAAGTATACAGAGCAAAGAAACAATCAATATGCCTTTTGTATCTATTGTTGTAATTTCTGTAGTACTCGTAAAAATAAAAGATGGATCCATCATATTTTAATAACGACATAAGAAATTTTATTATTCATGAATATCTTATGCAATTATGATAAAATAAAACATAAATTATTATAACCAAAGAAAAATCAAAGTTATTGCAAGTATTCTAATTTTTGTCTTCATGGTTGATCAATAAAAACTCATTTGAATCTTAAAAATTTTATCTTTTTTCCAATAAATTTTTTCATAAAAGACATTGACAGTAAAATTGAATACACCACCGTCAATTTGCTATTATTGTTCTCGCCTTACGGTTTCTTATTTGATTTTTACTTTATGGGTACTCACATTACTCGCAGATTTTCGTTACGCTCGAGCTGATGTTATGATGTGATAAGCGTTATACGTGTCTCAGGAACAAGTTAATAATATTGAATTAATCAGTAATATTTTTTAAAAGAAATCGACATTTTTTAGTAATCTTTTGATAAAAAATTTCAAGTAAACAATTTTTATTTGGATTCAGTGCAAATGAGAGCTGTAATCTTTTTAGATTAAACGGCATAGATATTGATCATTTTTTTGTTCTTGTAATTTAGTGCCTGAAATAATTACTGTGAATTCTATATACTTCAGAATTCAATGATGATACATTATGCTTGTGAAGTAAAAGTAGTCATTGTACAACAGAGGAGCATATTTTTAATTTTATAAAAGTATATATAAAACGAGCATACAGTTTTACATTGTGAAAAGAAGTATTAACCACTATGAAACAGGTAAAAAACGCTGACGAATGTAATTAAAGAAAAAAAAATGCTTATTGGTAACTGGAGTGCTATTTCGCGGACGCTGCATTTACGTAAGAGTTAAAAAAAAAAAAAAAAAAAGAAAAACTCTTGAAAGACCTCAATCTTATTTTTATGAGCTCTCAACTTATGCGACCTTCAATTTAATTAATCAATATAAAAGAAAAGTGATCTAAATAAATAAATAAGGACCATTTTTTTTCATAGCTATTGGTAAAATACGTAGATTTTGAATAGAGTTATAGTAAAATCAATGCGTTCGATGCACATTTGATGAACGTTTTCTACCACACACCATTGTAAAATACTTTTCTCGTCTTGAGTCGTCTTGTAAAATCAGAAGAAAACGTCCCGTGGCATTTCATCAAATTTTCATCAAGATGAAACATCATGGACACCGTACTTGGTAGTACCACCATTGTAAGCTATATACTTTGCGGTATAGAAATAGATTGGTGTGTTTCTCATAGCGATGCGGCATATTCCTATACATACATTCCTCTGCCCTTCCAAAGTAGCCGGCGCCTCTCGCTTTCAGCGTCTACACCAAGACGCGTCGCACGAGTCATTGTCGTCCAGTCGAAGTCGGATCGCCGCTGCTTAAAGAGAAGAAGCCCAATAAGTAGTCGGCCAGACCTCTCGCTCGACTCGCAGTCACGCGCGTGGCGTTACCATTTTCATTTTTTCACTTTCCTTACTTTCTCTTTGATCGATTTGAAGATGACGAGAGCAGTTCACTCGATTTTTGTTCTTTTGTCCGTGGTTGCTTTTATCAGTGCTACGAAAGTATCCAGGTGCAAGACCGGTAAGTGAGCGCTTCAAGTGCCGGTGTCTTTATTACCATGTATTTGGTATTCAAGAATAATTAGTATTGAAATAAAGTTTGTGTTTGATTCTTGATAAAATTTTTTTTTTACTGCTTACGAAACGAATGTAGAGGCCACTTTATGCAGAGGTGGTCGATTATATCCGAGTTCTTTGATAAAATGTGTTACGTACAAAGCTTTATTTTTATATCTCGTCTTCGTACTTCCAAAAGATACAACTGGTCACGCTGGTTTCAGAAATACTTTTTTTTTTATCTCGATACTCGTGCATGTGTTGAATATCAAATTATTTAGCACCTATTACTTTGTAGAATCGAGGCTTATCTATGAAAATATTTTTACGTAACTCTATCGTGCGATAAATTGATTATGCATTGAGTCATAAATTTAACAAAAATTCCCTAAAAGGCATGTCTTTTCCTGGAGAAAGTAATCATCGTGTAGACATCTAATGGTTTACGTAAGTTTCGTGCTTGTACGGCAACAATTTAATTTTCGCTCTAATAGAATTACACCAGCGTATAGTAATAACAAAATTTTGTCGAACAACGTGTGTGACGGTGCAATTTTTCAATTTTACGAACAAAATAATTTTCACGTTGAAAATTGGCTTGAAGTAATTTTAAAGACATATTACGGACACTATTTGTACCTATTAACGTCAAAATTGTTAGAAAATTTCCTCAATTCTTATAAAGAATGTAATAAAACAGTAAAAAAAAAAAAAAAAAAGAATTAGCTCCGACCATATCAATGTTTAACGCATTTGACCAAACAGCTATTATAAAATTAGTCGTTATTAGAAAATTGACTACATATTATAGCTTTAACGTGATAAATTTCTGCTCTATAACTTTTGAGAAAAAAACATAGCTTCAAGCTCTTGATAAAATTTTCTTTCCCGACGGCAGCGCAGAAGAGATCATGTCCACAGCGGCTTCTTACGAGCATCCGCAGTCATTAAAAATTACTTCTTCCCCGCAAGCTATCGCGTAAATCAATCTCCAGAATGACCTTTTCTTTCTCGGGCTGATTAGTAGAGCACGGAATGACGGAGAGTAACATAAAAAGTCTAGAGTCGATGACAAAAAAAAAAAAAAAAAGAAAAAAATAAATTATGTTTATGAGCGAGTGCTCGCAAGCACGTGACAATAGCTCCATAATGCAAAGTGGCACAATTTGGCGTACATCGCCGTACTGTTGCTCAACACTTGGGAGTTTGTGTGCGTGTGTGTGACCATATGAACGCATGTACGACTCTTTTGGTGGCATCGATGCGAATTAATTGTCCTTTCTATTCCCATCCAAGACGTGCCTCGGGACAGCCTGCTCGGCGTCAACATAACTGGCTGCGACACGCCTCCTTGCATCTTGAAGAAGAGCTCGACCGTCCACATAGTGCAAAAGTTCATCCCCTCCGAGGACATAAAGAACCTCACGACAATCGTGAGCGCCACGATAGCAGGCATCGATCTGCCCTTCATCGGTGTCAATGGCGTTGAAGCCTGCACGAGAATCACGGGGGCCAACGGTGCTGGCGGCTGCCCGCTGAAAAAGGGCGTCGAGTACATCTACAGCAACTCGTTCAACATTTTGGGGTTTTACCCAGCGGTCAGTATATTGCCACTCGATGATCGGTTTAATCGAGTCTTGAGGCCATCGAATCGCCAAAGAGGTGACCTCTCGTTCGTGCATGCGCTCGTTTGATTATTCATGATTTCGGAGTGTACATCGGTGCACGCGGGAGCTCGTCGATTAGTAAGACGAGTATAGGGGAAGCATTTAATTGCAAAATAAAGAATGCCGAGGCGGCGTGCATCGAAATCGAGAGGTCACGGCTCGCAAAGTATCATTATTTCGGAATGTATATGTAGCAAATACCTATTTGGTCGTTCCAGTTGGAATTTTTACAATATTTCTTTTTTTTTCTTTTCTTTTTTTTTATTCAGGTTGCCTTGCGAGTTCACTGGGCTTTGAAGGAAGAGGACAAAAACATTACGTGTTTCGAGGTTCCGGCAAGGATAGTCTAATCAACAGCAAACGAAGTTCATTTTGTATTGCTTGGAAAAAGGTCGTATATTGCTACCCAATGTTTGCTATCAATCTCTCGGAGTGAAATTACCGATACAATCTAATGCATATCGTGTGTGAAATTATGAAATAAAAAAAAAATTTTTTAGTTAAATTATATCTTATTGTATTTTTACAAATCCTTATAGTTCTTGCATATTATGATAATTTTTAAAATTATTAGCTGGTATTTAATGTAGTACATTTATAATATCCAAGCTGGCTGTTTTAAATGCTCAGTGTTGCTACAGGAAATGTTATTTTTCCTTATTTACTATTATTTTAGCATAATTTAAATTTGTTTACTTCCACACAACTTGAAGCGGTACTGACATCATTTCGGATTCTGTGAACTAAAAATATTGGCGAGTGAGAATAAGTCCGGTTGAGTCGGTATTCCATAAATTTTAAACAAACGTAGGTACTAAAGATAAAAAAAAAATTACAAACTATAATACATTAAGACACATCTTAAACAATAATATTGTTTGTTTTGTATCATGGAAAAATGTATTCTCATCGATATAACTTCTGTTGGTAAAATGTAGATGATTTAGGAGTATACCATAGATGGCAGACTGAGCAAGCTCATGTAAAATTGATGCCCATTCCCATTTTGTTGCAGTATTTAAAAAATCTCATTTTGAAAATATTTTGACTAAAATTCACTTGCAAAGTAAAATGATAATTTTTTAGTGACTATTAGTTTTTTCGTAGAGAAGGCTTTGTGGTGTACAAAAATGACATGTTCTAACACGACCTAATACATTTTGCATAATTTTAACAATTGTAAATTTTTTTATCATATGCTTATTGACGCTTTCAATAATTTTATCAATTTAACATGTAATCATTCGTTCTTCTAATAGTTATTGGTAATTATTATAAAATAAAATACTAAAGTTTCTAGAGAAAATGTTTGGCATCACGAAAAAGAAATATATTAAAAAATAATGTAGAAAGTTCATGATTTACGTTACAATAAGAAAAAATATGTTGAAAATATGACAGTTTTTTCAAAATTATATCATATCCTCAAATCGGTACATGACTCATCATTATCTCTTTATAATTACATAAGCTTTATGAAGTAATATTTTTCGTACTATATTCATATTTAATTTAAAATGACGTATGAAAGAAAGCAAAATAAAAGTTGGGTATCTCATGAACAGCATTCAAAATTTTAATAGTTAATTGCGATGTTTTTTCAGAAAAAAATCACTTTGTGTGTTGACTACATTCAAGTTATTTATAATAAAACAATTTTTTAGAGAACCACGTGTTACAAACTAAATTATATGCCTTCATTTAATTTTTACTAGATTTTTCTGTATGTACTTATTCATGTAAGATTTCGAATAATGGTACTAACAATTTTATAAAATTAATTATGTAATGCAGAAATTTTTTTTTTAATTCTGCCTTAATTATGTAATCCAAACTTTTTAAAACCTTTTTTTATTTCGACAAAAAAACAAAAAATTACTTTTAAAATATAAATAATATGAACATAAAAAAGTGATAAATTTCTGCTCTATAACTTTTGAGAAAAAAACATAGCTTCAAGCTCTTGATAAAATTNTCTCGCTCCCATTCCACCCTCTTCCACTTGTTCGTTTTTTGGCTGTGTTGGCTTTTATTTTTACATTTCCTCTTTTTATCGTAGGTTACGTAGGGACATGTGCTTTCTACGGACAAGTTTATTATGTAAAATGCAGTTCTACCATTGCTGATACTGCCATCGCTATTGTTATGTATTTTTCTTCTACTCAGTGAATTTCAATTGCCCCTTTTTTTACTCTGTTTATGCCTTACAAGATCACTTTAATCTGAAAAACAATTCAAGTAGTAGATTGTCCCGATTTTTAAGGTAAAGAATCCAGTTCAAGGATATAGCCAAAATGAGGACAATATTTGATCAGTTATCATATGTCTGAGAAAAAAGCTGCACACAACATAGTTAAAAAAAAAATTTATATTTTTTTGCAATTTTAAGGATGAAAAATAATTAAAAAATTACCTTTAGGTTCATGTATTTATTGACAATATAAATATTTCATCAAAAACGGCCCTTTTAATACAGACTTCAAACGATTCATGGAAATCTATCGAGTAAAAATTATTATTAGAAATAATTTAGTTTTTCTGCATTATTACACCTTTTGAGTTGCTTCAACTAGTCGTTAATCTCTACAGTATCTACCACAAAAATCTTTAAAAGCCAAGAAATCGTTATAAAAAAAACGTTGTTAATCGTACACAATGACGCATTATAGTTGCCTTCATTGCGATTGGCAACTATGGATAAAATAATTTTTTTAAAGCATCAAACCAAGACCATTAACGTCAAACCACCGATTGTATCCACAATTGAATCGTACTGATACATCTTAAATTTTTTTTCTCCCGCTCAATCTACCCCCATCGAATTCCCGTTTCCCCGTTGTCCATCGTTACCCGACTGCATCTACTATCGACGCACTTCATCAGCAGTCCAGGAAAACTCCTGCGTCCCTCCATCCCAGTTCCATTGAGGTCCTCTTGCGTTCTTTGCCACCGTCGTATCATAAACTCGGTCTAACGTTATCAATCATGCTGCCAGAGGGTAGGTTTTCCACGGGCGCGTAACCACCGCCACGTCGCACATCATCGTCCCCGGGACAACCAAGCTCCTCTCACCCTCTGCGAGAAGGTGCGCGCGTATACACATCACCCCCGTACACGGGGTGGTTGGCCGTTCTTTCGCGCCCCCTCGGCTGGTGGGGCTCCCTCGCGTAGGGCGCCGGCGCCCCGCAGCGGCTAGAGCGGTCGGGCGCCAGTGTGCGGTCCGATCTTGGCGAAGGACCACGTGCGCGGGATGCCTGTCACTCCGCGAGACGGCCGATCAGTTCCGGGGTGAGATTTTGGTGTTTTAATGACAGTGGCAGGATTTCATGATAAGCTCGTGGCGTGCAAAGTTACCGCGGATGCCTCGAGCGAGCGAGTCGAGATCTCGGTCCCGATGCTCGGTGGTGCGAGTCAGTGTAAACACGTGGTTCGGTCACGAGAATTAGTGTCACGTGATCGCTGGAATGACGATTTGAGGCAAAAATGAAGAGACGCGAGAGTTGGCCCTAGAGTGTGATCCTCGTGAAGGAGGCATGGCAATGATAGTGCGTATCGGTATACTTGGGGGAGCGCTCGTTCCATACGCGGGTGGTAGGTCTTTTTTTCCCCGATGTGCGCGTACGAGTTGAAACGTGCGGCAGAATGAGCGAGGCACAAATATTTGACGAGGGGCCTCCTACCCCCTTCCTTTCATTTTTCTCGTTGTTTATTTATGCCGCTCCACTCCTTACCGGTCGCTCTACTGTTGTTCCTTCCCTGGGCGTTTGCGAGCTCGGGCAAAGGGTTTGAGGCGACTGTTCGTTTACGAGCGACGTTAGCGTCCGTCCCACGGTAATTGGGGAGCTCGAATGGCCGAGCCGGTTTGTTGTTTCGCGGTTCTGTCGCCTTGTGAATGAGGTTGGCGCCGGTGATGTTGATGCTACTGCCACAGTTTACAAAAAGTTGGGCCATTGTACTAGCTTGTGCTCTCCTGTGACCTAGCTGTACAATCTATTAAAACTTACTTCCTTACCTTTACTTCTCTTTTTTACATGTGGGTGGGTGGTTGTAAAAAAAGGTGAAGATGTGGCGAATAGTGCTCTTGCTGGGACTGTCGGAAGCTGCTGGTCGTGCTGCTGGAGGCAACCGCAACGACGGGATCGACGTATCAGGTACGTTGAAACGAATGCCATTGTTCTTCCACTAGGCACAATTAGGGACATTTCTCCGGTGATATTGATGCTGGGCAGGGATCGTCGACTAAACGGTGTTCCGTGGTATTTGGGAAGCTCAAATGTCACAGCGTGTATTTGTAAGGGTGATAACGTTTTGATACAATTTTACGTTGATTTTTTATTACATCGACAACCAGTGCTTTTGCCCAATTGACACGTTCATTAAAAGATTCAATAAGCTTAAATATTTTTAATCACTACAATACTACATAAAGTTGGATTATTAAAACATTAAAAAAAAAAAAAAAAAATGTTTTGGTTTTTAGTGTTAAAAAGCTAAGTGTTTGATACTTTGTTTGAAGAAGATTGTTACTATAGTTGGTCACTTTAGAAAATTATTTTTCTGCATTTTTTAATGGTTTTCTTTAGTAAGAGAAACAGTTGGTTTATACATTGGTCATAATATAATAAAATACCATAAAAAGTGTGTAACTTTTGAAGATTTAATATTCCTGTATTCGACTCTTTGTTATGAAACTGAGATATTTATCTTTTATGAAAAAAAACGTTATTAAAAAAAAAAGAAGGAAAAAAAGTAGCACACCAAACCAGTCGTTCTGGCGTAAAGGTTGCGCTTTCCAGTAATACACATGTATCTAATACGTAGATGGTTCCAGGATACATGTATGTGATGAAAAAAAAAAAGTGCATGAGAGCGAGAAAAAAAGCATGAGAAGGGCGATGTTTCGCTGGGGGTTGAGGAGGAACGATGTTGGGGTGAGTGCGCGCACCTTCTGAAAAGGTGCAAACGCGTCGTGTTCACGACTCAGCTCGGTGATCCCATAAAAATTCACGAGGGCTGGCTCTCTCTCGCTCCCATTCCACCCTCTTCCACTTGTTCGTTTTTTGGCTGTGTTGGCTTTTATTTTTACATTTCCTCTTTTTATCGTAGGTTACGTAGGGACATGTGCTTTCTACGGACAAGTTTAATATGTAAAATGCAGTTCTACCATTGCTGATACTGCCATCGCTATTGTTATGTATTTTTCTTCTACTCAGTGAATTTCAATTGCCCCTTTTTTTACTCTGTTTATGCCTTACAAGATCACTTTAATCTGAAAAACAATTCAAGTAGTAGATTGTCCCGATTTTTAAGGTAAAGAATCCAGTTCAAGGATATAGCCAAAATGAGGACAATATTTGATCAGTTATCATATGTCTGAGAAAAAAGCTGCACACAACATAGTTAAAAAAAAAATTTATATTTTTTTGTAATTTTAAGGATGAAAAATAATTAAAAAATTACCTTTAGGTTCATGTATTGAGCATTTGACAAAATACTGTGTCTAGA